GGACAAACTGTATCTCCTAGTCGCTTTATAATTCTCTCTTGCTTTAAATTCTTCCGATCGATTGCCTTGCAAAGTAAGTTTTAAAACTGAATATTATTGAAAATTGTGTTATTTTGAGAAGCTATTACACAAAATCGGAAGACAGCTTGGATTATTTGGAAATATGACTCTATTGGTAATAATGTCAAAAAATATTAGATAAATAGTTTTCAATATATCCATTGCATGTTGCCTCGTAACTTTTCATTCATGGGCGCCGGCAGGGAGGGGGGGCAAGAGGAATTAAAATACTAGGTATGCAAAAGCGCATTTAAAGCCAATTTAAATATTTAAATATAAATGTTATAAATAATATTAAAGATGAATTTTTATGGCCAGAATTGGATGCTTTTGATATTTATTCATCGACTATTTCTTGTTTCAACAGGATGGTGCCACATGCCTTAAATCGAATGCAACATATTTTTATTAAATGATTACTATCCAGGTCGAATTACCTCAATAAGGCGAAGTCAATTGGCCACTAATATCGTCCTTTGGGCTTGTTCTTTTGGGACTTTCTCAAGAGTAGGGTCTATGCCAACAAGCCAACATCAATACCACTATTTTTATTTTTTAAATTTCTGATAATGTTAATGATTTCAATTTCAGATACAGAACTAACAAACATAGAACGAATATTTACACCAATATCACAGTTGTAATTTGTATCCTTTCAATCATTTAATAAATTTGGAGCTGCTTCCAATAAAAAATTGTTCATTTTCATTTCAATTTTGTCTGGTTCACCTTTAATTTCAAATGCACTATTATTGGATACATACATACATTATTACCATATGCCTATTTTTTTACAAATAACTATTATTATTATTTACTGTTAACTTATTATTTACTGTTAACATCGATGTTAAAAAAAACTTAAAAGTACACGTAATTTTGTTTGCCCCTCCCTGGATTATTTTCTGTCAGTGCCCATAGTTATGATTGCATATTTATGCAATAATAACACATGTCAGTTATGCATTAAAGCAAGCTTTACTTGTATTGATTGCCTTTCTGGCCGCTATTTTTCATAATACCTTTATTGAAAGATATGGAATACACAAATTGAAACAACAACCAACGATACAATTTTGATAGTTATCAGTTCTGAGTAATTTTTGTAGGTTAGAGTAAACCGCTCGAAGTTGGCTGCAATGGGCAGTATTTTTTTAATAAAAATGAATGAAATTAAATTAAGCACAAATTATTCTTTTTCATTTCAACAATTAGCCAAGCCCAATTTCTATATATAGCCATCCTCCCTTGTAAAAAGACAAAAATCCGTAAAAGTAATGAACAAGCTATTTATCATCAATCACTAAAAGTAAGAGCCACCATTTACGACCGCCCAAAAAAAACTTTTTGTTTGTACCATATTAATATAGTTTTTGTAGGCAAAAACACCATGAGTAACGACACGACAGAAACAGGGTGGTCCCCAAGACTAATGCACCACTAAGTGGCAATAAATTTTATAGACACTACATGACGGAGACATTAGTATTCATCGGCTGTATTTAGAGCAGGACAGCAGAAACGCCCTTCCAACTTTCGCAGGAATTAAGGGAGGCGACTTTTGGACTCATCCGTCTTGCCTCAGGCGGTTTTTTCCAATTAGTTTACATGCCTTTTGGTGTTAGTTATGTTTTGTATGGGTTTGAATTTTTTAAAAATCAGTGTTTGTTTTGAGTTAAATACACTCCCAAAAAAACTATCTTGTATAATATATTTAAGATGGATTATAATTATTATAATTCTATTATTATTTTATTCAATGTTTAGATTGTAATACTACAATATCCATATGGATGTAAAATGAAAATTTTAAATGTAAAACAAAAACCGCAACATTTATATTTTTTGCATAAATTCAAATAAATTATACTTTTGTAAACTGGAAAACAGAAAATAATCAGGAAAAAAATCTACAATATGTCCCGGCGCTGTTTAAGAAAGCCAGAGGGAAGAGCCTGAGCAATATAGGCAAAGAAACGGGAGCAAAAAAAGTTTTTTTGGTAAAAATATAAAATAGTCTAAAATTGGTTGCGACCAAGTTACACATTAGAACGTGTTATTGCCTCTTATGACGAAGAACGTAAACCCTTCTTATTTCAATTTACACAGAGATTACACTAAAATCAGATTTTTGTAGTTTGTTAATTTTATTTTGTAAAATTTTAACAAAATTTATTGTAGAAAACCAGGGTTATTTAGTATTTTAACAAAGGAAAATATTTTACAAAATGTTTTGTAAAGGTAATATGCAATTTTGTAAACATTTACCGGCCTCGGTGGTGTAGTGCCAGGCACATTTGTTTTGTTCATTTTATCTATACACTTTTTATATACTTGAAATTACTTATACAATTATTATAATTTACAATAATATGAATAAATATTTTTGAATTTGAATTTGAATTTGCTCCTGGGTACGAGCCGAGAGGTCGTGGGTTCGAATCCCACTTGGGTATGGTTGTTTATTTGTGTTTGTCCATTGTGTATAGTCCTTCGGAGGGGACTTTAAGCCGTCGGTCCGTTCCTACCCCTAACCCGCACAAGCCATTCAGTTGGCTTATGGGACATCTTAGTTTGGATGTAAGGGTGAAACTAAAAGAGCACTTATTTCAAAGGTTACAGATAATTTTGTTAATGTTTAACAAATTATTTCGTTGAAAAAGTACACTTGATTTCAGGCAGTCAATCAAAATATTTCCCACTGACAATACGCATCAACAAGTTCAACTGAATTCAGCATCTGCAACTTATGTTTCTGCTCACTTTATTCTAATTCGTAACGTGTTCGTACCATCACTGGTTTACAAACTGAAATTAAAGTTACGAAATACATCAGTAAGTGTTGAAATAGTACTGATAGTTAATTTGTACCAAATTTCTTCATAATTTGAGAATGGTGTGTTATTTACTTGTGTGTATCTTATTTTTATGTTCATTTATTAATAAAAAACATTTCTTTTCATTTAAGTATCCAATTTCCAACAAATACTTTTGTTACTGGGTCTACAAAAAAGTTTGTAAAAATAAGGTCCTTTTTAAAAATTACAAGAATTATGTTTGAATTATGTTTTAAATCTACAAAATGTTTCTTATAATTACAAACTTCTTAGTTAACAGATTACAGTTGGTTGTAAACTTAATGCAAATTTATGTGGGCCTGAATTAACATAAAATCTGGTTAATATTTGGTTAAAATTAACAAATATTTTTTTTACTGTGAATGTATAATGAAATTTTACTGATTGAAGAGGTAATTCATTTACCACAAATGAGATATGGGCGGAAATGTATACAATTTTTATAATAGACTTTTTTATACATTTTACATGATCTACCAGATCTAACAGATCCGGCAATACAGCTGTTAAATATTTAACTCCAATGGCTGGATTTTAATATCATTTCAAAATTTAGATTTAGGAATATTAATCATACGACTAAAATTTAATCAATTTTAGGATTTTTATGGAATATCAAAATTTGCAAAATATGGATACTAAAAGAATTTTAAATTACTGCCTCGAATTAGAAGAAGTCCTAAAATATAATAATTTTAAAGATATTGATGCTACGGAACTGTTATAAGCAGTAAGTGATTGCTAAACGCATAGAACCAAATGCTACACCACAAGAAGTTTTAAGTTGTTTGTGTAAACATAAACTTAAAGAAAATTTGCCCAATTTAATAACGGCATTGCAGAATTTGATAACGCTTCCTATGTCAAGTAGCAAGTAGCGAACAAACGATAAATTTAACCGAATTTGTTTCTTTTCTTTTTCAAGATAAAAGCTTAAAAAATTAAATGTAAATTTTTAATATGATACTGATGTAATAATTCTTAGGCTTTACTATATATAAATATATTTTTTTATTATACATTCCTTCGTAACTTTAAAAATTGTATACCATTTTTTAATTACTAGTCCTGACTTGTCCTAAAATATATTTTACCAAGTTTGTGTAGTTTGTTCTGGTTTAAGATTAATTTTTATCTTGTGTTTATAGAACTTGTTGCTTAGCACGTACTCTAGGTAGTTACTACCCCAGGGTAGTAACTACGTAAAGCACGTGCTACAGTTAACACGTTTTTTAATATAAATATATGTAAACTAAATGTCGATGTGAGTTTATTATTACTATAGAACATTTTTTATGTATGCAAAGATAGCGTATATAGGGAATGTTTCTAAAATTTGTGATCCTCAGAGTATTCAAGTAATGCATTTTCAGGACCATCGACAATTAAAGTAAAAAAAAAACAACAAATATATGGTGAGAGTTGATCTTTTCGATCAACTCCGATCATCATGGATAGAAAGATGGAAAAGGCTATTTTATCGGGTTCTAATTATTATCTGTGGTAAACTATTGGATCGCATTTATAGAGCTAAAGAAAGACAAAATTACAAGAATAGTTTTTTGGATTTTTTTGTTCAGCTGGCTGAATCTTCGATAAGTTATGGCCGACAAAATGCAAAAGTTGTACGCCGACAATATGTCACCTGGTTCCAGACTCTTGCATGGCGCCATAACTGTACAAACAGGAAAGAAAAATCAAAACAATTGGCGTTGCTTGCAATCTACCACTATGTAAAACTGTTTTATTGGTTATCACACCTAAGTAATAAAAATAAAACAGGGTTTTCTTTAGTTTTTCTTTTTTATGATTTCAAGATTAGTAAAAGACCCCTTTGCAAAATATTATTATATTGTTTAGTTCTTGGTGTTCCGTATCAACAAAATCGACGCATTTGAAACAAATTAATGAAGTAGAACTGAAAAAGTATTTAGGGTTAAACATTTTTGTTTTTCGGTCTTGTTTCCAAGATATATTAAGACATTGTTTTAAGTATCTGTAGCACTAAAACCTTTTCGTTCCATTTATGCTTGGTCTATCAGGAAAATTGAACAATATCTACTTTAAAAACAATTAACTTACCGGATGCCGAGGTTGTCAGGAACTGAGACTCCTGGTTGGTTTTATTAGCTTCAGTAGTTGGTATCATGTAATCGTTTCGACGGCGTAGAGTCGTATGCAAAGAGGGTCCCCTAGGAGGTATCTCTGGGGGAGCAGGCTCTGGCGGAGACTCCTGATCCTCATCTAAAAGTAGAAGGTAAATGATTTATATTATAATTTAAGTTTAAACTACAAAATAATGGGAATAGCAAAGAATAATTTTAATTATGTAAATATAAAAACAAAATTTAAATGTTGACAATTTTTTTGCTACACTGTAGCTTCTTCAGAATTTATTAAAACTAACACTAGTGCAAAATTTATATAACACAAATATTGGTTTTCTAGGAAATAATTTTTCTGGCTAAATCTACCTGTGTTATATGTATAATATTAAAAAAAGGCATTCAGAAATTATTAATGGGAAATACCTAATCTATTTATTGTTAACAATTTTATTTATGTACCTACCTATCAAAATTGACTTTATTTTTACTCTTACATCTAGTCCCAAAGTTAAAGATTGTTAAAAATTTGCTGCGGGATAAATTTTAATAATTTTTTGGTATAATACTGGATTGGATATAATATTTTAACATAAAAACAACCAATAAATAATAAATAAAATTATTATTAACATGCCCCTCGCTCCCTTATTGTAATTGGCCCTTTACGCCAAGTATTCGTAAATTAAAAAATGTCAGACAGTTTTTTACGTCTTTCCATTGGAAGACAATAATTTAATTAAAAATTTTTGCAAGTAGAGCAGAACGGAGCAGCATTGTGACATTATTCAAATCGAATCAGAGTTGTGGGATAGGTGACAGACCCGGTTCTCAGTGTAATTTTATTATCGTAGTTCTACTAGATTTAGGGTAATAAATGTCGGGCTTTAATTAACTTAAAATTGGATAGGTGGCGCTACTACACGTATTTCTCATTAACTAAATACATTACGTCACTTCCAATCCTATTCTTGACGCCCGGAGGTGTGAAATTGAATTGTTTACTTAATGTTTGCTTGTTTAAAATCTCGTTATTTGTATGACCCACGCAAAGCAATAAACTTATTTTAGTACATATATATATATATATATATATACATATATATATATAATACATGTAATATAATAAATCGTTTAACAAACATGTTTTGGAGTTTTATTGGCCATAAAATTTTTGTTCATTTGAAAACAGAAATTGGGGTTGGCACCTAAGCAGATCTGAGATCAAATTGCGGAAAATTTATTTGGGCATCGTTTTAACATTTGTAAACCTGTTTAATTTATACAAAAATTAAGGGGATACTCTAGACAAGTACACATAAAGGGTTGGGTTGGGTCTATTTAAAAATGAACGGTGCTTTATAAATCTGGACTTTCGGAAGATATCAACAATTTCTCAAAATAGTTTCTAGGATATTTTGGAGGAATCAGTATGACCACAAAAATTACCTGAGGCTGAGTTTTGTAGACCATAGATTTTAAGAAAAAGTCTAATGGTGTCAGATCTGGAATCTGAGAGGCCATTTTATTGGTCCTTTTTAACAAATCCACTGTTCTGGATAATTCTGATGAAGCCAAGCCCTAACAGCTACTACATAATGAGGTGGTACCCCATCTTGTTAAAAATGTAATAAATTTTTATCCAATGCAAGTTTATCATCCTATCCTCTTTGATTTTCTAGTTTATTTATTATTTGTAACTGTATTGTTTCATCTAACATTTCAAAATTAATTTGACCATTCAAATTTTGGTTAATAAATAAGGGACCAATAATAAAATCTCCCAAAATTCCTGCCAGGACATTAAGTTTTTCAGGATACTGGGTATGATTTTCTCTGATGAGATGAGGATTTAATATGCACCAAAAACGACAATTTTGTTTAAAAACATTTTCATTTAGATTAAAATACACTCATCGCTGAATCAAATATTATTTAGTATGTAAACTGCTCGTCATAAAAATCGACGCACCTAGTTTTTTGAAAAATATTTGAAAGCTCGTTATTAGAAAATTACTGAATCGATTTTGAAAATCTTTGCAAATTCTAAATAGCTGATTCTTTGACTCTTATGTCTAATTTTGGGAATACGATATTTTGTACATAGCATTATACTACAGGGTGTTAAAAGAAGAGATGTATTTTTTCCGAAATTTCAAGTTATTCTCATTCATGAGGCAGTTGAGTCTGCTAGTCGTTATACCCCTCCCTAATATTAGTAAGGTAATCCCTCGAAACGTTTTCGAGATTTTGTGAATATCGCGGCTTACTACGATTATATGCCAATTTTTCGAAAATGTCGTTATTTCTCAGTTTAGTCCGAAAAATGAGCAATAGTGGATTCTTTGACTTACGTCTAATTTTGAGAATACGATATTGTGCACATAGCATTATACTACAGGGTGTTAAAAAAATAGATGTTTTTTTTTTAAATCCAAATCCCCATTCACAGGGCAGTTGAGCTTGATAGTCCTAATACCCCTTCCTAATAACAGTTAGGTAATCCCTCGGAACGTTTTCGAAATTTTGTGGATATCTTGGCTAACTAGGATTATATACCAATTTTTCGAAAATTATTCCCCAGTTGTCCAAAAAATGAGCAATAGTACGTCTAATTTTGGGAATACGATATTGTGCACATAGCATTATACTACAGGGTATTAAAAAGAAGAGATGTTTTTTCCAAAATTTCAAATCACCATTCACAAGGCAGTTGAGCTTGATAGTCATTATACCCCTTCCTAATAACAGGTAATCCCTCGGGACATTTTCAAGATTTTGTGGATATCTTGGATAACTACGATTATATGGCAGTTTTTCAAAAATTCAAAATAAAAACGCAAACCATACAAAATTATTCTCGTAAACTTATGCAGGCTATATTCATACAATTTTCTACAAACGGTTGACTATGAAAGTTTAAAAAATATAGCGCATATCTGGTTTTGAGTTTCCTTCCTTCAATTATTCTTGTCATTTTTGTCGTCGAATATGAAAACATTTTTCAAACAGCAAAACACATTAAAAAAAATAAAATGACGGATGTAAGATTGCATAACACGCAATACGAAGAGCTGCCTGCCCTCTTTTTCTGCTAGAAGAAGATGGGCACAAGAACATGCAAATTGGGGAAACGATGTGTTTATAACTAATCGATACCTTTCGTAGTTTGCTCATTTTTGGGAATTAAGTGGAGAATAACGACAATTTTCGAAAAATTGCTATTTTATCGTAGTTAGCCAAGATATCCACAAAATCTCGAAAACGTCCCGAGGGATTACCTAACTGTTATTAGGGAGGGGTATTAGGACTATCAAGCTCAACTGCTCTGTGAATGGGGATTTGGAATTTTGGAAAAAAACATCTCTTTTTTTAACACCCTGTAGTATCATGCTATGTTCACAATATCGTATTTCCAAAATTAGTCATAAGAGTCAAAGAATCAACTATTGCTCATTTTTTGGACTAAAATGAAGAATAACATGAATTTTCGAAAAATTGCCATTTAGTCGTAGTTAGCCAAGATATCCACAAAATCTCGAAAACGTCCCGAGGGATAACCTAACTGTTATTAGGAAGGGGTATTACGACTCAACTGCCCTATGAATTGGGATTTGAAATTTTGGAAAAAAATATCCCTTTTTTTAACACCCTGTAGTATAATGCTATGTGCAATATCGTATTCTCAAAATTAGACGTAAGTCAAAGAATCCACTATTGCTCATTTTTTGGACTAAAATAACGAGAATTTTCGATAAATTGGCATATAATCGTAGTAAGCCGCGATATTCACAAAATCTCGAAAACGTTCCGAGGGATTACCTTACTTATATTAGGGAGGGGTATTACGACTATCAAACTCAACTGCCTCAAGAATGGCAATAACTTGAAATTTCGGAAAAAATACATTTCTTCGTTTAATGTAGTATAATGCTATGTGCAAAATATCGTATTCCCAAAATTAGACATAAGAGTCAAAGAATCAGGTATTCAGAATTTCTAAAGATTTTCAAAATCGATTCAGTAATTTTGCAATTTTGCAAGATTTCTAAAAATTCTAAACGCCTCTCTGCATCATCATCGCCAAGTTTTTGTTAAATATGCATTTTGAATGGGATAAATTTGTGATGTTTGAACACCTTACTAACAGGGCAAAGCTTTGTTAATCAAGATGCCGAACAGAGTGACATCACATTATTTACATACAGTTTTAAAACACGATATACCTACCAAAATTTTTTGTGATGATGAAAATTAATGTTTAGGCGGGCAAATTAGGTGTTACTATCATTGGTCCTCTGTTTATAGATGGACATTAAAATGGTAAAATATATGCAAACATGTTAGACAAAAGATTAGAGCCTCGTATGATTTATGAGGTGAAAAATCAAATGCACGTAGATAAAAATCTTGCTTTAGATGAGCACTTCCAGCTGGCTTATATCATGTACGTCCTGTAAGAAAGTAGTTGAATAATTATTATCCGGAGCAGTGGAAAGGTAGGAGAGGACCCATTGAATGGCCACCTACTTGACCAGATCTGACACCGCTCCATTTCTTCCTATGGAGTCACTTGAAATCCGTTGTATTTAAAACCCAACCAAAATTAATTCAACAACTGCAACAAAGGATTGTACAAGAATGTCTATTTTACCAAAGACACTTCAAAACGTCCGCGAACAGTTTAAATATCGGCTGCTTACAAAAAAATAAAAACCATTTTAAATAATAAGTAATTATAAGAATTTTACTTTGTCATACTTTTAAGGGGCTGGCTGTTACGGAACCCCATTAAAACTTTTAATTTATGAATTAAATACATTAAAATTTTAGGGATAGGTGCCCTGGGGGTCAGAGGGTTAATACACGAACAGATATCTCAACAGTTGTGTCCCTTGATATGTAAATTGACGTATCTCGCCAAATTTTCATAGTGTAATTTTAAAGAAATATTTAATGCTGTTCGTTTTCAAATTCCAACCTGTATAGCAATCCTTAGTAGAATTATAGCAATCTTAAGAATGATTTATTCGTAAACATAAGTTTAAATTTTATTATAAATTATTTTTTTTACTACCACATTTAAAACATCCATTATCGTACATGCACACAAAGTGATTTTTTAAATACACATTGATA